GTTTCTGGTCCCCACCTGTCGTTTTGCTCCTCAGCATGGCTGCCTAAAAACGCTGCAAGATTTCTCAAACATGCATGAATGAGTCAAAGCAAGGCTTTGGGCATTTTTTTATGAGAATATGACATTATAGCATGATATAAAACTCAAAAAATTGATTTTACACGATATTGCCCCTTTAAAGTACTACATTCTGTGGTGTTAATTGAATTTTCGTCATCAAAAGGAGTTTTGTTTCGCTGCAGAAAAGTCCTAGTATGGCCAAGCGTTCAATCGTTTTTATTTTATTTTATTTTTATTCATTTATTTTTCAAATACATCTGTGGAGTAATTCCAAAATGACAAGACAGAGAGGAGCTTGCAACAGGCGTCTTTGCAGGAAGTTGTCCACTACTCTCCAGTTCCAACTGTTTATTGGTGTTTTATCATTGTTGGTGAATCTCTTTTTCTCTGAAATGAAGCACGTTGCTGTTTCTCTCTTTCTCTCTCTCTCTCTCTCTCTCTTCAAGTTGTGAAATTGCCCTGACCTTTTTCTTTAAAGTTTCTCAGTAAACTCGCAGGGTGAAATAACAGCTCGCAGGAGCACACCGACTGCTGATATGAGTTGTAAACACCTTTTGTGTCGCTTAAATAAAAGAACATCAGCTGGGTGCTGCGTGTTTACACCTCTTATGTTGTGATCCTTTAGTCAAACACGAAACGAGATTTTTGTTCCACTGTTGTTCTTTAAAGATCAAATATTAAATGTTGAGCTTTTCAAGAAAGGCAAAAACTTACAGAAGGAATTGCAGGATATCATTATATTTTATCAAAAGATTAAAAGTAATCTGTGATTAAATTAGGTTTACATATGCTTCCTAATAATATAAATCTTGCTCAAATACAACAACTTCCATGTCTCTCATTAGGATGAAAGCAAACATTATATGCAAATTTACAAATTAGCATTTGGAATTAACACCTTCCAAGGTGGCTGCCACAGCTAATCAACCTTACCAAACACAAAAATAGCTATAACTTGGTTAATTTACAGATATTGTGCTAAAATGTGGTTTAATAGTATATGAGCATCATCCACAACACATACTCGAATCCAACATATTTTTGTTCCATCCACTAACATTTTTCTGACTGTAGGTCTGTGTTCAGATATGAGAGCACTTCTAATTAATTGCTAAGTAACATGTACCAAGATGTCAGAAATGAACAGCTGCTGCAAGAAGTATCACTTTCACTCAGGTACTGTGTGGCATCACAGGAAACTAATAATTCTAACAATCTACATCACAGGCCAAGGTATCAAGCCTATGTAAATAAAAGACAAACTCCATTTTATAAATAAAACCAACAAATGATATGATGTTAAATCAGGAAAAACCTTGGAAATGCATTTTATCCAGAGTCAWTGTGTCCAGATTATTGTTTAAAGCAAAAAGATTACTGTAATAAATTAAATATAATCTGAAAACTGTCTCTTTCCCAAAAACCAGGAAGCTTTCAGTGTCAGAATAATCTTAATTTGGATGGAGTTTGACTTCCAGTGCTTCCACTTGGCTCTAGTGTTTATCTTCAGGGAGCTTTTCATTCAGATCCTGAGCTGTTGCACATATGGACATCTCTAATGAGCCTAGAGGGGTGCCAGGACCAGACTTGGTTCCTCCGGTGTCTGCTTCCACTGGATTTCTGAACAGGCTTTGACCCCAGGCCCACTGTGAAAAGGTCACAGGTGAATCGGGCGCCAGCATATGCAACCGTGACACGACGGGCCCTGCCCAGCACCCTGAGGTGGGCCTTATTTCAGGCACATCTGCTCTCTGCCTAATTAGTATCATGGTGGACAGGAGCTTAAGGCTGGGCCTTTGTTAATAGCAGCCTGTTGCTTCGAGAAACAATCTGGCTCCTGGAAACTGCGTCTTTGCTCATCTGATAATCTGGTTTGAGGTGGTTAAAAACACTTTGCGTCGGGGCACTTGGACAGTTCACAACTTTTGGGATATATATATTTTTTTACATTTTTAATGAAGATTTCTGCTACTTGAAATGTAGCATGTCT